AACAGATACTGTAGCTTTGTTGGTTTCAAGCGTTTGACTAATTGAAAAAAAGGAAAAGCACCCAAACAGATTAGAAATCTAGATCTATCACTTATGAACCTTGCAGGATTTAGTGACCAAATTCAATCCTTTATGTACAATGATATGTGAAATATAGCTATTACTTTTCTGTTTAAAAAAAGACTAGTCTGATTTCATTAAACACACACACAACAAGCTAAACAGTTAGCAAACAAACACTGTCACTCTCACAATCAACAGAAACAGTGCCAGCTTGAACAATATAAGTCATACAAATATGTACCCATGAGGAGGAGACAAACCACACACACACACTGATGAGGAGAGGCACACATGCGCCCGGACTGTGTGAAGTACTGGCTCGTTGTGGCGAGTCACAGTCTGTGTTGCCACCTACAGAGCACCTCTGTAAATGAATGACTAAATCACAGCTGAGACTTAACAAGAATATGAGCAGACAGCTTGTTAGCATGATTCACATTAAACTCAAGCTCTAATTCTGGAAGCAAATGTGTAAAAATGGTAAGAGTCAGTAGGCTTGATGTTGATGTACTCTGTCCTCCCATATTGCAATGCAAAAATTGAAAAAATAATCAAAGTTGTTAATGGTGGTAAGGAAAGCTGAGAATGCAATTCAACCTGACAAGTCTCAAGAGCAATATAGCTGTCTGTTTACTTAGCTCAATGATAGTGATATTTCAAAATTGGAGTTTGATTAAATTCATTCAGCATTTTCTGTTATTTATTTCGCATTAAGTCTCAAGTCCCATGTCAAGACTGGCAGTCTTAAATGAAGTCCCAAGTCCTTTGAGTTTTAAATGCAAAGTCATATTGTGCTCCAATTTTTACCTACTCATTTTGCCTACTACAATTTATTTTGCTGACCACTGAACCATTTTTTACAGGAACATTTTTTATCTTGGGCATAATGTTTTTTTCTTTACAGCCACTAGGTAACATATTGTTTTGGCCTTCTCCTTCAACTTGATTAAATGCTGTTGGTCCAAACAAGGTGATCTGTGGAATAATTGTGGACTGCATTGGAAATGAATGGCATTAAAATTGTCTCATACAGAAAATAAAAGGAAATGTAATAACTCTGGTCGACACCTTTGGTTTCTTACTACAAGTTAAATAAAACATGAATGTATTCAGTTGTGGACCTTACATGTCAAATTATATAAGAGTATGTTTGCAGGTGCAATCAGTGTAACACAGAACTGAGATTAAAACAGTAAGAGTTTGAAGGGGAGATTGTTAAAAGAGAAACCAACCTAGGGCAGGCTGCTGAAAAATCCCTCTCTGACCTTGTTTCACACACTCATTCACAGATTTTAAAGCCAACAGCAATTAGGATGAGCTCAGGGTTCCTCCTGTTCGTGGTGAACCTGTGCCAACTGCTGCTGCCCCGCCCACATCCGGGTAGCAGCAGGCTCGCAGCTGATTGGCTGCCAGGCTAAGTCTCACCAGTAACATTTCACCTGATAGGCTCTTACACTCAGCCAGTGAAACCAGTGCAGCTGTGTGTGGACGCTGTGATGAATACTCTCAACTGATTGGCTCTTAGCCTGGAAGGTGTGTGCGCGCGTGTGCGTCTCATCTGTGTACGTCTCATCTGTGGGCGTGCATGTACATTGGTGTGCTTTACAGAGTCAAACCCATGAGTCAAACGCATGTGGGTGCCTTATAAATCCTCTCATCAAATATGTGTCGCAATTAATCATTAGGCTTATACCAATTCTGCACGTGTAGTCTGGTTTCCATGACAACACCCCCTTTTTTTATGCAGACAACTTCCACGTGACACATCACACTGCGAGCTGGAGTCAGATATGTCAGATGTTATCGTCAAAGCCCTCTCGCTGTGATGGAAATGTGCTGATCTGAGAGCAGATCTTAAAGGTGCACATTGTGTCGGCCAACAGGTGACCTGCCAGTCAATAAAGAAGCGTGCTCCTGTGTGATGTCTGTCCTCCTTTGTGATGCGGTGATAAGCAACATCACAGGCCTCTGAATGAAACTGCGCCAATGAAACGCAGAATATGCCGGTTAATAGGCTGTGTATTGTGTCGCTATCAGGCTATATCCCATAATAATGCGCAGTGAATCACAGCAGCCTGCGCCTTATCGTGCAGCAAAGAGCAACGCATGCTTACCTCATCCTCCCCTCCTGTCCGCTTCAATGAGATGGATAATGTATGATCAGTGTCCTTGAGTCGTAGTAAAAAGGGTCCAGCAGCAGCACCTCTGGGTGTTTGGATACAAACAGCGGCGGTGCCGGAGGAGCCTGCAGCCGGCGGGGTATACAGATGTTGAGGTCTGGAAAAGGCGACAGGGTGTGGAGAATGCTACACGGATGCCCACAGTTTTTAGGTCTGTCTTTTAAAAAACGTCAATTATAAAAAAAATGTTCTCCTGTGTCTCGTTCGTCAGGCGGCTGGTGGTTCGGTGGAGGCCATCTCAGAGGGGAGCACGCCGTCCGCAGGTCGAGAAGCCGGGCGGAGTGGTTGACAGCGGCTTCTGAGGTGCCATCTTTTCCTCCCTGCAACCACTGGGAGGCTGGATGGAGAGGGAGAGGAGAGGGAAGGCGAGGGGGGAGGGAGAGGGAGCAGGCTGCTGTAATATTAAGTGGAGATGGTTTTGCTGCACGGTAGCGCCCTCGGCCTGGTCATGCAGCTACTGTGCAGGCAGCATGTATGAAAAACAAACGCACACCGGCCTCTTCAAGAAAATTAAAAATGTAAATAACTTTTTTGTTTCAAAAAAATTATAATACTCAAGCTGTTCTGAAACCATTTTTTTCCTAATGCTAAACCCCATCAATTATCTATAATGCAAGTTAAAATGACAGTATACATTATTGTGTGTCAACTAAAACTGTGTATGATTCTTTTGCATTAATTAATTAATTTTAATGTATTTTTTCTTTCTTTCTTTATACTGTACAGCTAACAGCAGAATTGTTCAGCATCATTATTATCAACAATGTTGTTTGTAGCATATTATTTCTTTAATAATTAATATTCCATATTTTTATTTTCCATTTTCATTTTATAATTGAATATTTTTGTAGTATTGTAAATATTTTATTTATATTGTGATTACATTTTTCTAAAATGTCTTTATAATTTAACAACTTTATATTATGGGTTTACTGTAACATATCCAATTTCTCCTAGAATCAATAAATTATTTCTTATTTTTTAAAACAATCACCAGCTTCACAGGAGCATTTGTGACAGGTTTGGATTTAAAATTATTTAAGCTTTCAAGACCCTTAGAAACAGTTTTACATTATTGTGTGATATTTCATCACTCCCTGTTCCTGTGTGATATTCCCATTCTAACCCTCTTACTGAAGACTAAGTATATGCTGTAGCTGTACAGAATCATACAGTAATTCAGTCTGTTTAGTAAAAAGCTGACACAAGATAAAGCATGTGCACACAGGAGATTTTATATAATAGAATTCTTTTTTTTTTCTTATAGTTTTAAATTAAACAGCTGCTATGTATCCTGACACATCTTACACAAATCAAACCTGTGGTAGTTTTCCTTCTTACCAGGAGAGGTCCTCCTAACTTCCATGAACACAAGAACTACCTCTGTGGTTCATACAGTGGTAGGATCAGCTTATTGATCGTGAAAAAGTTCAGCCAGTGTTGTAAAGCAAAGTGTTATTAAATCAGGGTCTCCATTTTATTTGTGACACTTTAATACCCACATGATTTTATCTTTCTCTTTTTGGGTCTGTGGCCTTTATCTCCACAGGAGGGTCCCAAGGATAGATATAACTCTTATTATACTTCCAAACAAGGCTGACACATTTTCTCTACTGTCAGAATTTAAATATCTAATCAGTCCAACTTGAAAATGTGCATTAGACAACCTTATTTCATCACAAAAGAGATGCAGAGAAAACATAAAATACAAGAGTCATTGTGATGCGTTTTAAAAAAAGATGGATAACCCCAAAATCAACACACATGTTTCTGTTAGTGCTATTTATGAATTCAAATTGCTTTGGTGTGAGTTGCAGGGCATTTGGAGGTACTGGCCATAGAGATGTCTACCTTCTATTTAATATAAGGAAACTTTGCCAAAACATTGACCACATGAAACTGCTCATAGGAAATTATTGTTGAGCTTTTTCGCTGCTTTTAGCACCACAAGCCACAAGTGCCATCTAGTATGTTAGAGAGGAGTACACTCAACAATTCACACTTAAACCATCTAGATTCATATATATTTCCCTACAGATGCAAATAAAAATATGTATCTTTTATTTTTGGATGAATTGTCGCTTTAACATATTCCTGACTCAAGTTTTGTGATAGTGAATCAAAAGTCTAATGGAGTTTTTTCACAGTGGTAGTGGACATGTTGCACCAGGCTCTAGCATTTTCCACAAGCCGTCATTTAGCTGTTTATCCAACTGAAAAAGGGTATGGCACATGATTTTCAACAATTTCCTCCCCATCAAATGTTCAGTGGACATTCATTCCCTGCAGTCACTTGGTAAAAAAACCTTTTCCCATCATCAGTAAATTCCCCAATACTCGATTAAGGCGACTGCACCTGTTGTTCTCCAAGGCACTGATTAGACTTTGGACAAAGATAGGAACCATTACATGAAAGTGCAGCAAATACTGTAAGAGGATCTCTGCTGGAACATACAGTACTCAGGTCAATTAGGCACCAGCCACTCACAACACTAACCCCGCCTTCACACACACACACACACACACACACACACACACACACACACACACACACACACACACACACACACACACACACACACACACACACACACACACACACACACGCTTAGTGGCATAAGAAAAGGAAAAGGCCTCCCATTAGTGATCATTTTTGTATTGTTTGTCCTGAACTACAATGAGACATTTTTGACTGATTCTGGTACACTCTATTTATTGCTTCAAGTGGAACATTGACTACAAAACAACAACAAACATTACAGCACACAGGAATGAGAAAAACTCAGACACACACACTCATTGACATCAAAAACAACGCGCTCTAAGACGACTAAAGACACACAGCGTTGCAGTAACATTAACAGTACAAGCGTTCGGTAAAACAAACGCAGGTACTGTATGTGTGAAAAGGATTAATGACTACTATGGTTTCGGAGGAGGCTAAAAAAAGCACTAGAGCTGTCATGCTTTACTATCTTTGAAATATATAATCCTGCAATCAAACACTGCATTAACAAACGTGTTAGTGTAAATGTTCTGGAAAGCTGTAAGAACTGATGTTGCAGATACGTTAAAGCAGCACAGATTCAGAGGAAAATCTAGTCAGAAGTGAACTCATTTCAAAATTGTATTTCTTGTTCTTTCAACATTGGAAGAAAGTCTTTATCGCCGTTTATGTTCGATTGGTTAAATGAGGCTTTTAATAACACCCGTTTCAAACGTTATCAGGCCATTAAATGGTTGTTAGCAGTCGTTTTTACAATCACTGATGCTTCAGAGGGAGCAATGTTATGAAACGTTTCCAATTTTGTTCGGTTTACGTGCAAAAACTACTTGGTAAGTTTAAAAGGTAAAGACCAGGGTATCAATCAAGTATGCCTTTCAGTTTGTTATTTGTTAACTCACACATTTCTTGTATTAGCATGGGTTATCATGTAAATAGACGTTGCTCTGAACCTACCAGTATGTGTAGCAGGCACCTTCAAACCTAACACTGTTAACAGCCACTTAATGCCCCAATTTAGAAACGGGTGTTTAACCATTTGATTTGGTTCAGTAAACATGAAAGCAGGGATACATTCTGGCAAATCTTTCTCGGCCCTCCCGCCTCAGTAACAAATCTGGAAATACTGGCTGGGCGATTTGACGGGGCTCTTGTAGCTGGAAAAGTCGTGCTGTGCTGTGCTCTGGCTAATTGTGGTTTTCTGCAGGTTTAAGATGAAGGACGGGCTCGTCTTCTTCGCCCCGGGCTTGCCGCCGCCCTTCGCCTGAGGGTTGTTAGGTGCAGCCGAGCCGCAGTTGGCAGGCACCGCGGAGTTAGATTTGGTGAATTCAGAAGATCCAGTCCTTCTTGTTAGGGGGCTCAGATAGATCTGCATAGTCACTAAGTGAAGTGGTGAAATGAGGTGAGGAAGGTGTGAGTGTGAAGACAAGGGGGGAAGTCGGTCAGTGGGGAAGGGTTCAAACAAAGGTCAGAGGTCAGGTAGTGCGGATATTTAAAGAAGAGGTAAGGTTAAAACGAAAAAGACAGAAATAAGGGTGCAAGGAGTTAGGGGAAGGCACATAAGTCATGGTGAGATTTGACAAAAAATGAAGAATAAAATAACAGTTCCACTTTTCCAGATAGTGTGAATAAATATATTTGTAGGGATGAATCATACCTTTGCAGTGTGTCACACGGCTTGTCCCTGCACAGAAACAGCACACACACAGATTCACTTACATGCAGCATTGCCATGTCAGCATTTTGCTTAATCACTTATGTTATCTCCTTTATTTAATAGAGGCTTGGAGAGCAGCGGATTCACTTTCTTGTAATGAGGCTGCCATACAAATAACAACAGTGCTCACTCACCTCCACTCACTGCTGCCGGCTCCTTGGACTTGCTGCTGTAATAATGAGAGAAAGAGGGAAAAGAGTAAAAAATATAGCAACACCTAAAGAGGGTTTGTAAATCTGGCAAATGTGAGGGATCAGTGTCAGGATGACTAGCAGTTACATATCTTCTCTACTGACTTTGAGAATGTCATGTCTGTGGTTTGGGTTGTTTTCACATAATACAGGATGTCATGGGTGTGAATAACCTCAATTTGATTCTGACTTCATCTGTCACAAATAATTAGGTGACCCCAAAATCACTGAAAGTGTAAATAATTCATGCCGTGGTTTGCAAGAGTTGTAGGTGAATTCGTTTCATGGATACATTTACAAAAATATTGTAAAACTGAACTTTTATTTGGCTATATAACCACTTACAACAAGACAAAAGAAAAGGCTATTGTGAATAACCCATTTCTTACCCTTCCTGAGGCTTCTTACTTGTAGCGGCTGTGGAGGCTGTGGAGGCTGTAGAGGTGGGGCGTTTGGTGGTCTTACCTGGACTGTCCTTCACACTACTGGCTGGGCTCCACACACCACTGGAAGGAAAATTAAAAAAAAGTAGCTTTCATTTAAAAATGAGGGTTTGAGAGTGCACTGCACTGTTGTTGTTTTTGGTGGCGCTTTTGTGTGCAGTTGCCATTTTTTGTAACAATACTCTTTAAGTACATTATTTCTTCAAACCTCAAAGAGATGGTTAAAGCAAAAAAATATTTGACTTCTATAAAGTCACTGGCATTTTTTCCTACATTTTAACATTGAAATAAAGTAGTTTTAGTTGCAGGCTTCTAAATCACTTGATAACCCCTAGTGTAAAATGATTATCAAGACTTTAGTAAAGATAGTTTTACACACAGTACATTGTTTTTGTTCACACATTCGAGTGAAACATCACTGTAAAGTCAATTTCATATTTCTACAGGTGCAACATGTCAGATGAAATGACTAAATGCTTCACGCATACAATTTGCTGGAGCACTAGCCAATAAAGGGGCTGGTGTTACGTAGTGATGTCATTATGCTGCGGAACTAAACATACAGATTCCAATGGATGTGTTCCTACATGCATACAAACCTATATAACACACCAAAGGAAAGTGAAAAACATAAAAGGACCCTTCTGCCATACGAAACAAGATTTATAGAGAGAGAAAGAAGTAGCCATCAATATGAGAGAGAGAGAAATACATCAGAAGGGGAGATGAAATGAACTGGGGGCGAGAAAAGGCAATGATGCTGCATCTCGCTTAATTCTAATACCAAACCTGCAGCCTTAAGTGCATGGAAATGTACTTCTCTCCGTGCACTTATATCAGCACACTCCAGATTTAGCAGCAGCACATTAGGGTCCCACGGAGAGAACCTATCACGCTCTCTGACTAACGCTATCTAATGGCAGTATCATTTGAAAGGTAATAGAGAGGAAGAGCAGAGGCCGGTCTGCCGCTTTATCGCCTTGAAATAAAGGTTGAGTCTTTGGAATAATTATCGAGCTTCCTTGTGCTGCGTTTCTTGGATAATGGAGGGTGTGCGGATTGCTTTTGAACATTAGATAATGAGAAGTGAAGCTTGAGTTATGAGACGGAAGCTTCATTGTTAGCCGCTTCATTAAAACTGTATTATGTTAATATAATGTGTGCATAGGCCTACAGTACTCTGTCTCCTGGTGAGTGCTGTCAGTGATGAGAAGATTCTTTAACAGAAAATCATTCAACAACTGTACCTTGTTTTGTTGTACTGCACAATTGCTGATAAAGAGTATGTTTCATTTGATTTATCTCAGGTAATAAATATAATGAAATATGAACCTGTTACAGTTTATTACATGTGTGAGTGGTGGAATGTATTGGACTTAAGCACAATTCTGAGGTACTTATACTTTAATTAAGTACTTTTTATTCAATGCTACTTAATATGTCTACTCTACTACATGTTGGAAGTATTTATTGTACTTGTTACTCCACTACATTTATTTGAAAGCTTTAGTTACTTTACAGATAAAGATTATGAGTCAATACAAAGAAAAGAAAAGAAACATAAACATCCAGCAGGAACACAAATAAAATGTATATTACCATTACCTTTACTATCTGTGATATAGACACAATAATGCATCAATAATTACAATATAAGCATTTAATGACATTATTTTTGAATTGGGAAATGATGCTTAACAAGTACTTTTAGCTATTTAGTATATTTTAGTGCTAATGTTTTTGTACTCAAGCAACATTTGAAATGCAAGACTTCTACTTGTAACAGAAAAAAACAAAAGTATAAAATCCGAGCACATCCTCTGCATGTTCTTGATGTGGTTGTGGTTGTGTCCTGTCTGCAGACGGAGAAGCCGTTACCTGCGGGGGGGTGTGGGGCTGTAGTTCCTGGCTGTGGAGCTGGAGGGCAGCGTGGTGCTCTTCTTCAGGGAGGCAGCGCTGGAGGGCACCAGAGAGGGCCTGGACGGCAGAGCCAGAGACACTGGCCGGGCTACACACACACACACACACACACACACACACACACACACACACACACACACACACACACACACACACACACACACACACACACACACACACACACACACACACACACACAATGTTATCAACGTAGCAGACAAATGCACCTTTCAGGGTTTGTTTTTTTACCAAGATTTGTCTTTTCCATCTTTTCCTACTGTTAGGAATTGACTATTCACTAAGCACTTAGTTACTGTTGCTATGCCTTCTAAGCCTTGTATTCTTGCAAAACTCAGGTTGTTTGTCATTTTGAAAGATTTGTCAACATGTGCGGTTATAGAGGGGGTCCAACAGGAGCCAATGCCCCTGTAACGCTGAGTTTTAACACCCCTCTGGCCCCCCTCAGAAAGAAGAGTCTATGGTGATACCATTTGTGATTGTGTGGCAGCAAAGACTTTGCTTTATAACACCAAAAAAAAAAACTAGTATTTTTCTCAATGCATTGGCTCTAATCCCCACCCAGATCTCGTCTCACCTTTAGCACCTGATGTTCTCCTGCCACCAGCAGCAGCTGCTTGGTGCTCTTCAGAGATGTTGAGCCTCTTGAGAACATCTGCCAGGGCCATCTTCAACAGCTGGATTTCATCTTCCTGCATCTGCATCCTCTGCTCCAGATAGGTGAGCCGATCCACCACATCCAGGCCACTGGCTGAGCTGCGGTCATCTGAAGGATAAATACATAGCCAGGATTATCTTGTTGGTTTGTTATGCTTTTCCACGGCGTTACGTAACTGAGGACATGATTAACATCCATTAGAAAAACCAGCAGAAGAATCCGAAGCATCCATTTAACATTTGCCAGCCTCTTAACCATGTCTAAAAATGTTTAAAGGCACATTTTTCACAGAGCAAAAGAAAGAATCAGTCAGTGAACCTTTATCAACTAACACACACACACAAAAGATGGAGAGTACGATGCCAAGGAAGAAATTAATATGCAATTGATTCACTATTTGGTGACAGAAAATCTTGAGTATGAAAGAAAAAAACGTGTAGTTGCAACAGTTTAATAAGAGAAGGACTGGTAAAGAAAAGTAATTCCCCATTCAAAAACCTTAGCCAAAGAATTATTGATTAAATTCTACTATAAATGCTTTTTCAAGGATCAACTCCTTTGGCAACAAGATATAAACATAATCAGAGGAAGGAATAAGCTCTTTAACATCGCCTGTTCGTGCTTATGTAGCGAAAATCAAGCTGATGAGGTCACAGCACAGCTGGACAGCAGATCATAACACTGTCATCTCACAGCAGCATGTAAACAAAGGTATACAGCGCACATTTAAAAACACTGTCACCAACACACTATCATTTCCCTTTCAATCCGTTTTGGTATTTATACTTTTACTGTAGTCAATGATCAGTCCAACACAGTAACAATAGATCAGAGGTGAATACCGTGGGAGACACTGGACAGCGATGAGGAGGCAGGGGGCCTCTGGGGGGCAGCTGGGCCCTCTGCCATTACACCGGACGTCTTCCTCCTCTTCCTCTCCTCCCGCGAGCACAATCTCTCGCTCCTCTTTCCTTCTCTGGCTTTAGTCTGATAGCTTGGTTCTCCCTCCATCTGATTCACTGGCTGGTGTCCACTGAGATCTCACCCCCTTTGCTCCACTTATGTCACACACACTGTAACACTCACACACACACTGTAACACAGCAGCCTCCTCTTGCAGCATCCAGGCAGTATTACATTGGTGGTTGCTTGATACCCTCTGGGACACACTGATGTGTATGACAGCGCTTTAAAGCCCTTTTGCTCAGGGTGTGTATTTATATAAAAGGTGGGGGTGGGGTTGATAATGCTTAAACTCAGCAGTCGTCCAATTCAACCTAAATTGTCTGTGCACATGCTTGTGTGTGTGTGTGTGTGTGTGTGTGTGTGTGTGTGTGTGTGTGTGTGTGTGTGTGTGTGTGTGTGTGTGTGTGTGTGTGTGTGTGTGTGTGTGTGTGGGTGTGCAGACTACAATGATAATCCTTCAGACTGAGCTTCTTTGACCCCGCCCCCACAGATAAACCCCATGTTGCTATGAGGGATGGAGACACGGAGAGGAAACAACAGAGATAAACCTGAAATGGGGCCTGGGCTGGCGTTGCGCTTCAGTGAACATTTCGTTCATCCTCGGAGTTACAGAGGTCACAGGGCAGGTCACTCTGAGTAATAAGGAGGATGAAGAGGAGGCCAAATGTAAAAAACAATGCTTTAGTGTCTTCAAGGATGAACTCCATAGCTCAAAACAAAAACAGGAATAAGGATCAGTTACACAATCTGTGGCTATGTGTTTATTTCTTTTAAAAACTAAAATAAACCAATGATTTCCAACTAGCGTAGAAGAGCAGATGCTTCTGCAGTGACACGTACATACAGTACAAATACTGTTGAATATATTTCAGATTTTTATAGAGCAGTGATTATGTTTTGATTAAAAAAGGAAAATCTCATACATTGTCAGCATACTGTATAACACCCGAACACCATGTGTTATGAGAGGGCTTAAAAACTAGCTGACAAGCAATTCAAACTGTTTGCTACAGTTAGCAAGTTAAAGAACTGTATGTATTATAGAAATAAATGGATACATAGTAGAAGTATAGTTTGTTAAAAGTAACAACTAGAGGGGTAAAATAGTTCATTAAAAGTAATTTACAATTTACAAAAGCAGTAGAAAAGGAGTTTCAAAAAGAATTAGATACCCTATTGGGTAAGGGGAAGAAATTGTTAAGTAATACATAAATGACAGACATAGTTTGCTAAAAGCAATAGATAATTGGTAAAGAAAAGAGAAATGGTTGGATGGCTGATTTTAACATACAGTTTGGTTAAAATAAATAAAAGTACAGGGAAGTGGAAGTATATCTGATAAAAAAGGTGGATAACCTTTGAAATGTTTTCACTATAAAGTTTAGTTTAGTGTTGATGAAGCCTCAAAACCTGATGTATAGTTTTTGTAAGATACGAGCATATCATACAATTTTTTTTATCTATGTTCTTGGTTAGATAGCCTGCATGAGTTTTCCCTCTTGAAACAGATAATCTGCTGTGGGTGCAGACTTTCATTAACTGTGTATTTATTGGAGCATGAAGCCCGCAGTAATCTGTTTCTCATGCAGCATTGTGACGTTGTGTAGGACTGCATGGTGGTTTCGTGTTTCTCTTCTTCTCCTGGCTGTGATCATATCCTCGTGCCGCCTCCACGCACCCCATATGGGATTGGGATTAGAATAGCACATAATCCCAGCGCTGTAAAAGGGAATTAGCAGCCCAAAGCTCAATCTCTGCACCAACTCAGCTATACAAAAAAAGAAACAGAAAGGCTCCCTGAAAGACGCTTTTCATGCAAATGTAAACACGCAAACAAACATGAAGTATGTCTCTGTGCCTCTGACTCACTCACACGCACATGCACACACAGCGCTAACAGTTTCAAAATGTACACGCCTATTATGAATCTTAGCAAAATGAAAATACATGAAGGCATAACTCCGGTGTAGCGAAGCAGCAGTGTTTTAATCTGAGCTCGCAGATGGTGTTTCTTGAATGAAGAACCAGCATCTGTCTGCTCATATCAGCACCTTGCATGCTGACACATACAGGCCACAAGCAATCCTTCATAATAGTCCACAGATACTAATGTCCCTCCGGGGAAGAGGCATTTCCCTATTTCTTTCCATCGCTGTACGCACATTCCAACACCTACAGTCTGACTGTTTGGCATGTGATGCATTGGGCAGGTATGCAAGTGTTTATCTTTACAGTTAACTGAAAATGTATAGCAACAATGTCAAAGAAGATAGATTTTGAGGATCTATACAGAGTATGGAGTCTAATCTATTTTACTGCCCTGATAAAACAAATCGGTACCAATATAAATTATCTTCTACTTCCGCCTTAAAGTGCCTCAAACATGTTTTCTTCTGTCACCGGTTTTTCAGGGTTTTCATTCAGCCATATAAAAAAGAATGTTAGACCTTGTCAGAAGGCAACATGTTGATCATAAAATCTCTAAATATCTTATCCAAGATACTATTTGTATTCTGTTGAGGGTTTAAAAGTCCTGCGAAGTTGCAGCACAAGGCATAGAAACACTATTGTGTTGTTATAGTTTGTCATTAATGAGTGTGTTTCAGTCCATGACAAATGCACAATGTCTGCATTCTTTCCAGGAATGTTGTGTTACTTACTTCTCACTTTTAGATTACTTCACACATTATTTTCATGTTATCAAGTATCAAATTGGAAAAGCTAATTTATTCAAAGTCAAACATGTATGCATACATGTTGTGGTAAACACAGGGAGTGTAAACATGTCTTCTTGTTGATTATATGCATTCATACGTAATATTAAAAAGGGAAATAATGTTTAGTCATTGCTCTTTGTATTATCCATCAGTACGTTTTGGTTTTATAAGATAAACATCTCTATGAATTGTCCATTTAAAAAAAGAAATCAGTTGTTTGACCACCAAAAAGATGCATTTACCTCTATTGCATTGGCGTTCAAACGAGCTCCACTCTGTACCTGTCATGAAGTCGGTGTCCGGTGCCAGCAGGGAGTCGCTGTGGTAGCTCTCCTTCAGCGAAGGTCTCCTCTGCGGGCTGTGGACCGTCTCCTCCATCCCCAAGCCGTGGTCCAGCTCCTCCATGTGTGAGTCCCCCTCCTCTACGCCCTCTGCCATGTTGACGAGTGCTCCTGCAGCACTCCTACTAAAGCTATACGCTTCACTGACGGGCTAATTCACCTACCCCTAAATCCACCAGTGGCCACAACCTCTCGCTTTCCCTCCCTCCTTCTCCCCCCACTGTCCTGTAAGGAGGGTGTGCAGGGTGATGTCACTCAGAGAGGACAGATTAGGGACCTGGTAAGCCATCTGAAGCTCTGGGGAGAACAACACTATGAGCCCGGTGAATGTGTGTGTGGTAGAGACGCTTCATTATGGGACACATCTTCTAAATATAAGTGAAAAGGGTATAAAAAGAATCAGTTCAGTTCAATGCAACTTTTTTTTGTGTTACATTTTTCCTGAAATGCTTTTTTTTCATATTCAAATTAGTCACATCTTGCTAAATATGATTATAATTTGCATATTTTCTGGAAATCTTAAGGAAAAGATATGTATTGTACAATCCCATACACTTTTTGTTTTACAATACAGGTGAATAGGGTGACAAATGTAACTAATGAAATCCCCAGAAGATTACTAAAGTATACTTTTTTGTATAAGATGATTTTTAACATTTGATGTTTACATATGCAAATGAGACATTATGTGCACACTTTTTGTTATTTAGGACAAATCTACAGGAGCAAATTCAAACAAATATATTACATTTAAGGGATGTGTTCCTTGTTTTGTGAAAGAAGACATGTTTGGGAAAATAAAATTCACCATGAATTAACAATTAAACAGTCTGTCGTGTGTCTCGCCTTAAAGGCCCAAAAATAACTTCCTGAAAGATAAGCACCATAACTTCTCTCTGCTGACATACTGCTACTGCTTCGAGGAGGAAACAATGTGTAGCTATAACTGAACTGTGTGATGAATATACACATGTAAAAAAAAGACACAGCAGGGGGAGATCACACAATTTGCTGTTGCATGCAAAGTTGCAGACAAGCACACAACTGCTCTCCCAGAAAGAGCTTACATCAGGCTGCCATCCGGTGTGGCCGGCCCTGGTGCACTGTTAGGATGATGAGATTCTGAGATTAGGGAGCAGAACTTGATTAATTACAGTCATCAAGAGGACAATAAGCCGGATGTGGTAATTAGACCAACAGAGAAAGACAACAGGAGCAGAAGAAAAGCCTGTTTGACGATAGTCGGGGTTACCCCCGGTGTAAGCTGACATGTTGTCTATTTTGCATTCGCTGGATTCTTTCTCCAGCAGCTGCTTCTCTTTGCTGATGTGTCAAAAGATTCTGGCCACATAGCGGAAGCTTCCATAGCCCTGAATAATAAAAAATGCTTTGCTCTACATTTCTCTTTCTGATCACAACATCCTAAATTCTAATGAAAGCATTGTACAGCATTGAGCAAATAGGACTTGCTGTTTGTTATTAAAGCAACTCCAGAAACTTCATTTGGTGTTGATTCTGGCGGCCCCTGTGGACAAAACTCATGTTTTCATAGAAGAAAGGCTGCATTTCTCATGAGCACCACCGCCTAGTGTCTGGAGATCTTGACACAGTAATGTGTTCATTTGTGTAAAAAGTGAAAGAGGAACGCAATTTATTTTTAAAAGAAATGAATAAACCTTTGACTAAAGAACTAATAAATTAATAGTTTTATGTCTCACAAAGTATTTCATGATTCAAAGAATTTAGTATAGAAAGAAGACGACCAATTCAGGATCTGGTGGATTTTTGGTTCTCACGTCAATTTTCTCTCTTTTTAGTCTTGGTTAATCCTGGCCTAGTATTAATTATAACCACACAATTTAACATCAAAATCAAACATCTATTCGCCGCTGTTGTTTATTTTCTAAGAGAATAACAAACACATGGTGTTTGATCCTACCACAATTAATGATCATCATTTTGCAGTCCAATTTGTGAAGAAAACAAGACACAATAATAAACATTGGTTGTACAAACAACAAGAGAGAACTATAATAGAAATAATAAATTAGGATGTGGCATAACCCACATTTAAAGGATACCGCAATCATTTAAATAAGGCTCAGTGATACAATTCAAACCAGATCTGTGCTTTTTGCTCATTATTGTGATTAATATCAATCAATCAATCAATCAATCAATGTTTATTTATATAGCCCAATATCACAAATGTTACATTTGTCTCAGTGGACTTCACAGTTTGTACAGAATATCAGTATGACAATACGACACCCTCTGTCCTTAGACCCTCACATCGTACAAGGAAAAACTTCCAGAGAAAACCCACAGTTTAAAGGGAAAATGGGAGAAACCTCAGGGAGAGCAACAGAGGAGGGATCCCTCTCCCAGGACGGACAGACGTGCAATAGATGCCGTGTGTAAATTGAAAAGATAATACATTTGCAACATAGGTAGTCCAAATGTTTGGAAATGCATGTGTGTATAATAGGAAGATGAATCCACGAGGATATCCATCCAGGACTTATGATCCAGGACCACAGCCACGACTGAAGATCCAGGACTCGCGATCCATGACACAGGACCGCAGGATCATCCATGACTCCGGATCCCGGAGTATATAGACACCAAAAAGAAAGAAATTTGGGGAAGCTGGGTTAATCGGAACATGAGAGTACACAGGTATAGACAGAGAGAAGGAAGAATTAAGATGTCCCCCGACAAGCTAAGCCTATATCAGCAAA